TAGCCATTCTAATTTATTATTTCATAAATTTCTTTTCAAAACTTTTCAAAGCAATTGCCAATGGCAATCACATTCATAGGAAACTAAATAACATTGGATTACCACCGAAGTTAAATAAAATTATAAAACAAATTATAAACGAAGGTATTTAGACCATTATCGTAATTTGACAAATCACTAAAAATCGTGTTTGTTCTGCTCATCATTTTGCTTTGCATATCCCATAATGAAGCCAAGATAAAAAAGGCAATCGCCGAATCTCCTTATATCAATGAAATCTCATTATCGAGCGTGCACAAGACGAAGAAAAATGAATGCGATGACATTTGTCTAACACCAAAATGCGTTCATGAAGCGTCACGCATTCTGAGTCTGATGGATCAAACCGTAGATGCATGCGATGATTTCTATAGTTTTGCGTGCGGAAAATTCGTGAAAGAGACCATCAAACCTGACGATGAAAAAGTATCAGCCAGCACATTTTTGACAACTGATGAACAAGTTCTGGAGCAAATACGTCCATTGCTTAGAGAAGAAATTGATCCAAATGATTCAAAAGTGTTTAATTTGCCGAAAAAATTCTACAAAGCATGCATGAACACAACTCTGATTGAAGATCTTGGATTGAGGCCGGTGCTTGATATCACCGATAAACTTGGTGGTTGGCCAGTTCTCAAAGGTGACGAATGGGACACTCAGTCGGAATGGAATTGGACATGGGCCATTAAAGAATTCCGTAAAGTTGGATTTAGTACGGATTATATTTTTTCATTATCACTTCTTGACGACTCTGTAAGTTTTTCCATCCATTTTTGGAATTTTATTATTATTGAACAATAAAAGTGGTTGCAAAATAGTCAAAATGAGATTACCGCGATAAATACCCATATTTTCACAGCCAATTATATTGGGCGTAAGTCAAGCTGCATTGGGTTTGAGTCGAACATATTTGAGCAAAGGATTTGATAATAAACTCGTTAAGGAATATTACGACTACATGGTCGATTTAGCGGTTATTTACGGTGCCCACCGCGGTCAAGCGGAACGGGAACTTAAAGAATCGCTGGAGTTTCAAATTAAATTGGCAAATGTAAGTCTTCAATGCTTACACATTTAGTGTACATTCTCAAGTGTGTCGAAAAAAGAGAAGTAAAAAGTTATTTATGTAAAAATTCATCATCCGGCATAGATTTCTCTGTCAAGTGACGATCAAATAAACAACACATATCTATATAAACCTTTGCGAGAAATACAACCGTTGTATCCATACATTCAGTGGGTTGAATACATCAATGCGTTATTGCCGCCACCATGGTCAACCGATGAGAATTTGTATCTATATGTTGATGGTCCGTATTACTTTGAAAAATTGGGCCAATTATTACAAGAAACACCAAATCGTACCATTGCAAACTACATGATGTTTCGCGTTACCGAATTTTCATCGTTCTTCCTCACCAATAAATTACGCAGTAGACAATCGGTTTACCGTACAAACGTTTACGGTGCACAAGAACAATGGCCTAGATGGAAGGAATGTACGGCTATCACGAGGCAATAGTATGTTTGTTATACAGTGATCTGAATATGCTTAATTTATCAAGCCAACAGAGATTACCGCATAAAAATGACTGATAATTTCGTGTGGGATTGTATAAAAAATATTATCAAATTGTACGATAATCTCATTTGGCCATATAAATTAATTGCATTGCAATAAATCCTGGCAATGAAATTCATTTTTACACCAGAATGTCTGAATGTCATCATGATTTCTGTCATTTTGTCTAGTTTCCCAGTTGCCGTTGGCGCATTGTATTTGCAAAAGTACTTTCGACAAGATACAAAACTTGTCCTGGAAATGGTAGATCGAATCCGCAAAGAACTTGAACTCATTTTAAATGATGCCAGTTGGATGGACAACGACACACGTCAATCAGCTATCAAAAAATTAAAAGCAATGTCCACGTATGTTGGGTACACAGAAGAAATTATGAACATTTCAAAAATTGAAAAATACTACGGCAACTTAGATACTGACGAAAATGACTATCTCGCATCCTATTTGAATATGGAAATATTTATTGATGAAAAATTTCAATATCTTAAACCGTTAAATGAAACCATTTGGATAGAACATGCAAGTGAAACGGATGTCAATGCATTTTACTTCACATACGAAAATAGTATAGGCAAGCATTTTTTACACATATTATGATTCCCAAGGGATATGAGCTCACACAAGTGTTGATCGAGCCGGTGGTGATTTTCCATTACTCTCTTTTGGTGTCAAGTTGAAACTGTCAACACCAATGTATTCCAGAACAATGTTTTCAATCAAATGCTTTACTTACAGACATTCAGGCAGGTATTATACAAGGTCATTTCTTCTCGTCCGAACGTAAGTTCGATTACTGCCAATGCCATGCATATGCCATCTTTCTAACGAAATATTTTCTTTATAAAAGGCCCGCAATATTTGAACTATGGAGCAATTGGTACGGTCATTGGACATGAAATAACCCATGGATTCGATAATAAAGGCAGTCGATTTGGTATTTTTTATATGACATATGAGATAAGACAAAGAAAAATTAATTATTTTAAACTTAAAATATATAAAAGATTTCAATGGTAGTTTGGTTGATTGGTGGAAACCTGAAACAAAGTCACACTTTTCGGAAAAAGTAAAATGCATCATTGAACAATACGGAAACTTCACTGAGCCGCTGACTGGTCTTCAAGTACGTCTCATTATTTTTTCCACTATTTTCCCAATTTGTTCACTTTAAATTTGATGTCCTTTCCATTTCAATTGAAAACGAGCAGTTGAATGGCACTAAAACACAAGGTGAGGATATTGCTGATAATGGAGGTGTCAAAGAATCGTATCTCGCCTATGAAAGATGGGAAAAAGAGCATGGACCCGAGCGAAGATTACCCGCTTTGAATTATAGCCCCAAACAAATGTTCTGGCTCTCAACAGCACAATCATGGTGCAGTATATATAGACCAGGTAATCGATATCCATAGCCAGTTGTATCGAATTCCACGTCAGAGTCTTTGAATTTCTATTTTTTTGTATTTTAAGATGTGATAAAACTTCAGATTGAACTTGATGTACATAGTTTGGGAGAATTTCGTGTACTTGGACCATTGAGGAACTCAAAAGAATTCGCCAAAGATTTTAATTGTCAAATTGGAAGTCCAATGAATCCAATCAACAAATGTGAAGTTTGGTAGTTCAGTTGCTAACCAAGCATTATACCTTTTCGAGAGGGTGTTGGAATGTTTATAGTATTAAATACATCAATGAAGTAACGAATCAACTGCTAAAAACAATTTTTCGTCAACTACTAAAAACAGTACTGAATTAAATTACGATAAAATCAAACACGTTTTGTTTATTTTTCTTAAATACCAATTTTAAACTTACAATTTAGCACAAAAATTACATTTAAACCACTGTACGTATCAACAAAAGAAGAAAGTGAACGAAATTGTTGAGGCTTCGTTCCGAAAATCTAATGTAATCATTCCATTGTTCGCCAGATGTCGTTGGGTCACACAGTCAATAAAAAAAAACTCCGTACATTTTCCCGAGCGCGTTGAATTTGGCGCGATTTCATATAAATTGTTGTTCAACGTAACCATCTATTTATATGCAACTGCGTTCAATGAAATCTGTAGCGTAAGCACGTCCACAATGTCGTGTTTACGGTACAACGGTAGCCGTAATCAAAATCAAAACAAAGTAAATGCTCAACAACGCATGCGACGCAATCAGCGTACAACAAAAAAAAAACATTTTTAAGGTGAATGGTTTGCGTTCATTGCGAAAGCACCGTACTATCCGAGATACGAACATGTGTGTGATTGTAATAAGGTCGCGATTGTTCATTATAAATGCGTAGCATAGTCGAAACGAAAAAAAGAGAAACACATACATTCGGTCGCGTATGGATATCTCTTTCGGTGCTGCCGCAACCAAAACACGAAACGATATATTTTTGTAAACATTCAAGCATCGCATTCAAAGTATTTGACGTATTGCAATTTAGAGGTAGTGTGTATAAAAGCACCACAGTATCATAACAAATAAAATAAAACGTCGAAAATTGTCATTCGTTGTCTTGTTCTCGGTGCGATGTGAAGAGCGATCGATGATATAAAAATATATTCAACAGGCGTGAGGAAAAAAAATCGTGTGTGAAACCAAGGAGAATTGGCGAAAAATTGTGTAAACAATATTTCGTGGCACAAATCATTGGTATCGAAAGGGATCAGTTTGATATGGATCAAATTCGGAGCACCATTCGCAACGTAAGTGGGAAATGTTTGTGTTTTATTAGTCTGGCCGTACAGAAGGTCACATTCTATCAGGTGAGCACTCAATTTATTACAGTTTATTTCAATGACACATTGTCGTCTTCGTAAAATCATCGTTATTGTTGATGTTTGATAATTTTGAATTTTTCTTTTCTGCCTCATTGACGGATGATGATGAAAAAGATTTGGCACAACACATATACAGCAGATTGTTCCGAATACGTCATACGATGAACATGTGTGTTTACATTTTGTTGTTTTCATGCTACATATTTGGTATTGAATTCGATTCGTGGCTGTCAACAAAGTTGGCTACGCTCTGATATACGTTGTTTGAGTGTGGAAAACGCAATACGGAATCGTTGGCATACGCATACAATAGGTAAACATTAAACGAATGCGAAAAACGTCATTAACACCAAAAACAGTGTGTATGTGTCGATCGACTTTCATTGATTAAAACAAAAAAGCAGTGATAAAAATGATCATATTATTAATTTATTATTTCTTTTGTTTTTGGATTTTTCGGTTGAAAGTTTTTTTTTTTGGAGCGTTCGAAATGATGACCAGTGATCGCAGCTATTTGGCTTGAATGGATTTGCATTTTTTTAAAAAGGTAGTATCAGCAGGTATTTTTCAAGAGTTTTTTTTTTAAATAAAAACAAACAAATCAAACATAAATGACCAAATCAGCGGACCAATCGAATTTTTTTTCGTGTCTTTTTTTTATATCAACTAAAGGCAATTTGAAACATTGAATTCATTTGCTGTTTATTCGATTTTGAAAGCAGCTATTGCATTTAAATGGGTGTCTTTTTGCATTAGTTGTGTGCCACTTTGTACAATTTACCATTTTTGGGCAAATTGGTGCAATTAAGTGCAATATATGTTTTTTTTTTCTCTTCTTTTTTGCGCATTGATTCGTGTCAGTTTTGACACTACCAAGGTAAGTATCAATTTTATTGGGAATTTTCAACGATTTTTGATGGATTTTTGAATGAAATAAATAAATAATAAAATGAAAATAAAGCTTTAGAAATTAATTTGTGAATTTAATGAAGTTAGTTTGGAGTAGATGTTTTCCGAAAAGTTTACATTGACATTTTTAAAAACAACGGAAACCATCAATTTGGAACTGAATCATCTCGGCGATTTCATCGTTGGACAGCGTTCAAGTCATAGGATCCCGTTCATATTTAAGGCTAAATTCCAATTTCGATTCAATAAAATACAAAATATCCATCATTGTTTTGATTTATTTCCTACTTTTGGTAAGTGTAGTAAGTATACAAAGCTTGTTATGTGAAATGCATGAAAATTAGCGGAAAAAATGCTCATAAAATTCCAAAGTCATTGCTATCAGTTCAATTGTGTGCCATAGTCAAAAAGCGATTTGTTTATTTGGGAGATTTTTTTTTTTTTTTTGATTTAAATGCTCAAAACGTTACATATCCTAGCAACGCAAGCTCCCAATGACAGCAGTCATAATAAAACAATGTTACTAGGGATTTTCATGTAGTTTTGCGGATATTTCAAAAAAGACACAAACGTCCATTGGATATGGCATGAAAAAATGTGTGCATTTTTTTATTCAAATTTTCGCTACATTAAATTTCATCGAGAAAAAAAATGCAATTGTGCTTTTTCTTTATATTTCAATCGCCCTTTATTGACTGGCAAATTCAAACTGTCACTTTATATGTCAAATGTATTTCATATCAAAATAATAAGAGTGTAGTGTCTGGTTGGTGTTGCAGAAAGGCGGTTGGTAAGTGCGACATAATTTTATCAAAAAAGAAATTCAATAAGAATTTGAAATAAATGAATGCCACCATTTCAGTTAAAAGTCGTTTTTATTTTAACACCAAATAAATCGCTCGATTTTTTTTTTAAATTTGTTCAGTGTATTCAGTCCAACCCTTGTATATGGCATTTCTTCACAATAAACAAAAAAAAAGCATTAAAATTACTTTGAAAAAGCGAAAAACAATTTCGGAAAATTAATTTTCTATTAAAATATTTCCAAAACTAGGTCACACTCAAATAAATTCTGACAATGAACCAATTTTTTTTAATGAGGCTAACCGAGTCTCTGTCTATCTCAATCGCACAGTGTACACAGAAAATCCGATGACAGATGAAAGAATCAACATTTTTCATTTGCCGCAAAAGTTTTTATTTATTTGATATTTTTGCTTGAAATTTCATATGATAATAATTTATGTTGCATATATTTTCTCCATTCCGAAAAATCCAACAAGATATATGAATAAAATAAGACGGATAGAGAACTTCATTCAAACGGTGTACACTGTTGATTAGGTAAACAAATCATATGTTGCTGTGTGTTTATAATCGTCGCATCTACCACCTATCGCACGTCGAAATGTCTATGTTGGTTGTCAGTTGTTGTTCAGCATTGTTAAAGGAACGATGTCCATAAAGGGAAAGAGCTTTGGTATCGGTAAGTGTTAAGGAACTCTTATTCTTCATTTTCAAATCGGATTTTATTTTCATTTATTTTTTATATTAAAATTAAAAATCTTCGATAGAAATTGAGATCCATTCGGGAAGACGGTCAAATTTTCGGGTTGTGTCAAAAAAAAATATCAATATAAAATTAAACTGATTGAATCGAATAATAATGATGGCAAATTACATTTGCCGAATAAAAAATGCCGAAAATTGTAATTTTTATCGAAAATTCATGAATACTGAAAATGATGCGAATTTCCATCAATTTAAAAATTACAATTGGATATTCGGTTTTCATACTCGCAA